GAGGAAGCGGGGCCGGGCATGGCCTCACAGTGGACGGGTGGGAGGGGCTGGTCTCACCTTCCCTGCCGTGGCCGGAGGCTCTAGGTGTCTGGGAGGAGAGAAGGTGGATGAAAGACCCCGATTCAGCACAGGCTTACCAGGCCCTGACAGTGGGGCCTTTGTTGGCAGCCCTGGGGGCCATCAGAGACCCGAGGGGAGAAAGCTCTTGCTTCAGGTGGTGCCCGGGAAGGGGGAGCCACGTCTACACTTGGCTCATTGGGGGCTTTGACGTGTTGGCTGTCCAAGCAGAATCAAAGCAGAGTTAAGTTGGGGACAGTCCGTGGTGACTCTGTGTCCGGTGGCTGGAGTTGACTTCGAGTCCACAAAGCAGGGCTGGGCCAGCCCTTGAGGGAGGCATGGGCCAGCATCTACTCCATCTGGGGTTAGCACGGGTGAAAGTCAGACATTAGAGACCGTTAGGACCCCCAGCGCCGAGGCCCCGGCTCACCTCACTGCCTGGTGGTGTTCTAGCTCCGTGAAGACGCATGGCGTGGTGTTTTAACCGCCGTCCTTCCCGACGCTGACATTACAGGGTCTCTTTCCTAGTGACTTGTCTTGTCTGGCCTGGGGCCCAGACAGATGGACGCCCCTCTGGGGCCTTTCTCCCCTCGGCTCCTTTCCAGTACTTAGTTTCTTTCCTGTGGCCCTGGCATCTCCAGCATCATGCTGCTTCTCGCTGCACGTGTTGGCTGAGTGGAGGGATGGTTCTGGAACGCGTGGCTGGTGTTTCCCGGTGCGAGCGGACGGGCGTCTGAGTTTTCACTGGGAGATGTGTCTGCCCTTGTGGAGGCCCCTGGCCTGCTGCACAGTCAGCCCTCCAGGCTGGGGGTTTTCTGGGCCCTGACTGCTGTTTTCCTCAGATCCTGGAAATTACACCTTTCCATGAGGATGGCCACATCCAAGCGCGCCAAGCTTTGGTAAATAAAGTGCCCCCACTAATTAAACAGCAGCCCTGCTTTGAAGTTGTCTAGATATGCCGGGAGTACATCCAATTAAATCACAACAAGTGTTCCTGATTCCGATCAACAGGTAGAGATTAGTGGGTGGGGAGTGTGAGTAACAACATTCTGAGAGACGCGGACCCAAACAGAAGGGCGGCCTGGACCCCAGTCCAAGAGCGTGGGTCGACCTTCATTAGTAAATTCTTGCCTAATGGTGTCTCCGCTGCTAATGAGCGCGTCTTCGTGGAGAGGAGCCTGCGAACCGGAGCACGCCCGTGCGCCAGCTCTGTGGGGACGGACTCCTCCTCTGACAGCTCGTCCCGGCGCCCATCGGAGGCCCGTGCTGCGAGCCGGCCCAGGAGATGTTGCGCGTGACCGGGGCCCGGTTTGCGGTTTCCACGCATTTCCCCACCTGGGGGCAGGCTGGGCTCCACCCTCCGCCCCAAAACCTGGACGACTAACCAAGCGTCACCAGACACCAGCGGTGAGTCCTGGCGAAGGGTCACCCTGCAGACGGCGGCCGGTTCGGCCGGCCAAGGACACGCCCCGAGTTCCCGGTTCAGAGCCGATACCCCATGCCTGGCGATTAAGGCCGAATCCAGCTCAAAACCCAGCTTCTCCCAAGTGACTTCAGTCCGAGCCGCCGCTGGGTCTTTGCGCGGCTTAGATGCAACCCAGCGAGTCTGCGGCCCCGCGCTCCTGCGCCTCCCGCGCTCCTGCCTGGCTTCGGGCCGAATCAGGCGTCAGGAATGTGAGGGCGCGGGAGGTCGACCGGCTCTCCCAGCCCTTCTTTACTGCTGAGCCTTGGTGGCCGGCTGGGACCGCGTGACGGGACGCGGACTCGTTTTCCACTAAGCTCTCCACGGACGGTAGTTTTAGGTTTGTAGGAGCCGCGGGGGTGTCACGAGGTCCCGTGTTGTGCATCCCCGTCTCCCCTCGTGTTAAACCTTCCATCACGGGTGTGGTCCATCCGTCACAGGCGTGCCTGGGCCGGCTCATTATTCTCACCCCAAATCCGTGCAGTTCTGCTTCCTTGGACTCTGTATCGGGTCTCTGCTTCCTGGCATTAAAGGGTAATTTTGACAGGAACCAAACTATACATGTCACGTATCGTTGTATTAAACCAGCCACGTTGAAATTTGACTCATATTAAGTGTTCTCCTTTCTCTAAATGTTAAAAAAAAAAAAAAAAAAAAAACAAAAAAACGAGTAAGGGGCTAATAATCATGCCGACCTGACACCAGCGATGGTTTTAGTGCTCCTCTGGCTCTGCCAGATACGTAATAGTGACATTTTGATGGGCTGGGGGAGAGTTTTTGTGGCCATCTAGTTGGTTTTGTTTTGTGTTTATTTTTGGGGGTGTTTGCAAGCCTTCTGGGGGGCAGGAGAGACCCTTTGGAATCTCTGGAAATGCGGGCCCGTGCTGTCACCTGTCACCTGTCCCCAGGCTCGCATTTGGCCCAGTTACATCTGGCTTACACGTTTTGGGAGGTGTGGCGTCCGACTTGCTGCTGTGCAGGACAACGGCGGTTTCTAACCTCAGACTCTCAATGGGCTCCTTATTTCTCGGGGGGAAGCAGCAACAGGGCCCGGTTGTGTTCAGACTACAGGCGTCCGCACAAAGGACCAGGGCCGTGGGCCGTTCCGCATTTATCCACGTACGTGACTTGTCTCGGGGCCTCTGGGGTCCGCCTGGTGGGCGCCTTGAAATTTCATCTGTGTTTCCAACACGCACCGGGCGCTCTGCCGCCAAAGTGCCCGCGCTGAATTTGACTGAATCTTAACAGAACTGTTGAGGGCGAAGCTGGGGGCTGGAAGAAACGAGAAATCAAACCCCGTTTCCGTGCTGACCGGCACGACCTTTTCCGACAGAACCTCCCCGTTTCCCCGGGGCCAGCAGAGCGCTGCGATCGTCTGGGCACCTCCCCGAGGCAGTGCGCTGGTCTGGCGGCGCCTCGGGCGGGGGGCAGGTCCGCGCTTCGGGCCTGGGAGCCGCCCGGAGCAGCCGGCGTCCTCCACGGTGCGGCCGGGCGAATCGTGCTCCCCTGTCTTCGGGCTGTGTGTTTACTTGACTGCTTCACACCACGCCTCTCCCAGGGTGTGTACAAGTGCAAGTGTGTGTGATTTCCTGCGGCCTCTCTGCCCTTGCTCGGTGCTGAGGGACGGTACGTGTAAGGTGCCGGTTTGCCGTTGCGGACCCAACGGGAGTGTGAAGTGAGCACGGGGGCGTCGACTGGCTCGTATAGCTCCTGCCCATCCCCGGGACGCAGCCCCCAATGTCCAACGCTGTTTACGGTCCCCTGGGCTGGGTCACGAGTCAGGGGAGAATGCTACAACTGCTCTGGGAGGGACGCGCCGTTTGGGGGGTCGTCTCAGAGAATCAGGTGGTACTTCCGAGGGGTTGGTTGGGGACGTGTGACGAGAGCTGGCATGGGACGGCTGGCGGAGTTTGGACTGGCAGTGATAGGAAGAGGGAACCGACCTTCAGTGGCCACGGGAAGCCCGGGCCGGGGCAGAGACAGCCTCTCACTGGCCGTCTGGGAGCCGGGGCTGGTGCCCAAGGGCGCAGGTCCGTGGTCGCCGGTGCGTCCTGTGATGCAGTTGCTGGTGGGATGGACGGATCGGCACAGTGACTCCGGTGCCCTCCTGGATCCGCCGGCCCACGCTCGTTCGGCTCAGCAGTTAGAGGGCCCTTGTGCACCTGGTTCTCTCTGCGGACGGCTCGAACCCGCTTTCAGAGCTCAGCTGCCTGGAGCAAGGCTTCACCCTGAGAGCGGCCTGGAGGGTCTGCTGCTTTGTCCGCTCTCGTTTCTCATTTGAGAGACACAGTGGGGCAGCCCCATCTGTATCGAATCATAAACTGTGTCCTCTGGACTTTTTAAAACCACGGTGGTAGACGCACACGATGCAAGGGTTCCCGTCCCACCCGCTTCTGTGACCGTCGCTGTGCACTCTGAGAGCTGCTCCGTCGGTCTCCCCCATATGAAGCCGTCCCCGTTGAACACTGGCTCCCGCCCCACTCCCCAGCCCTGGGGCGCACCATCCGCTTTCTGCCTGTGAACTTGACTTGAACTTGACCATGGGTCGGTCTTTCCGCGTCTGGCTGTTTCCGTCAGCTTCGTCCGTGTGTCCCAGGGCAGGATCTCCTGTTTTCTAAACCACGTGATGCTCGGTGTGGACACTCGCGCTTTGGTCGGCTTTGACGCCACAAACCCGGGTCCGTCGGGCTGTGTTGTCACAGCCACCCCTGACGTCACCGGCTCTCCCCCACCCTCCCCCGCCCCCGATAGGAGGGAGCAGGTCAAGGCCGGGCTGCCAGGTGACAGTCTGAAAGTGAAGGGGACAGGAGCCACACTGGGACATGGGGCCGGGGCGTGTGTCGTGCCCATCCTGCCTTCCCCCAGGACCCAGGGATGGACGCCCACCTCCTTGTGCGGTGCTGCGGGTTCAGCAGACCAGATCCGCACTTGCGCGGGGTGTGGGTGAGTTTGGGGGCGTCGCTCCTGTGACCCCGTCTCTACGGGGCGGGCTGCTGGTGCTGTAGGATGACACACTTCTGTCCTCGCAGCCGTGGCTCCATCTGTCCGTGGTGCCGGCCGCCAGCAGACCCAGGAGCCGGGAGCGGAAGGAGCGGCCTGGGAGCCTCTGTGGTTCGGGGTGGATTCGGAGCTGCGGGGCCAATGTCCGGGGGGCGGCCTGCAGACGGGCTACAGTGGGGCTTTGTCTCGCCCACCAGTGCTCGAACCTCTCCCTGCCCTGAATGGCGCTCGGTGTCCGTCCTCCGCACTTAATCAGCACGGGCTGCAGTGTCCGCGCTCTGCCGCCCTGGGGATCCCTGGTGCTTCCGTCCCACACCCCGCGCTGCAGGAGCCTTCTGGAAGTTACCGCAGGGCCCCGTGCCTCCAGGTGCTCTGGAAACAGTGGGCAGCTGGGCTAGAACACCGTTGTCTCTGCTCGGGAAGCCGAAGAAAGGCCTTGCCCTGAGCTCTCACTGACGTCGTGCTGTGCTCTTCTGCCCAGGGGACCTGGAGGCGCCTGACCCGAGTGACCCTTTGGGACAACTGGACGGACCGGACGGCCCCCTTCCAACTCTGAAAGGTAAAGTGTGAGGAGCTCTGGGGGGCAGGTGTTCGAGAGCATCCTCAGGGTCCCACGAGAAAGGCCCCCCGCGGTGGGCATCTGTCCCGGAGGGGTGGCTGCTGTCCTGGAGGGGTGGCTGCGGACCTGGGGCGTGGTGGCCTGCCTGCGGCTGCACTGTCGTGAGAGCCAGCTGGAAGGTGATGGTGGCAGGTGACAGGGCATAGAGGGAGCAGGTGGCCGCTGGAGAGAGGCAGTGGCCTTGTGGGGAGCTCCGTGGGCCCGAGCAGAGCCTGAGGAGCTGGACTCGTGGTCTGGCCACTGTCACCTGCTGACAGGTGGTCTTCCTGGGGTCACTCATCACCTAGATGGGGCGGGTGGCAGGTGGGCGGGAGGCTCACTAGTGGCAAGTTCTCTGTCTCGTGCCGCGCCTTTCCCATGGGTCGCAGTCCGGGTCACTGTGGGCACAGGGCACACCTTGTCAGCCTCTCCGGGTGGCAGAGTCAATAGGACACGTTTCTTCTGACACAGCCCGCTTCCTCGGGGAGCCTGCCCCCTTCCTGCTCTACCCTCCGTCCCCGAGTCGTCTGAGATCACCATCTCAAGACCCCACACGTGGGTGCACACCTCAACGGGAACTCGTGCCCCAGAGTGCTGGTGGCGGGAGTCCAGGGTGGGGAGCCCAGCAGGGTCGGTTCTGGGGAGGCCTCTCTGCCGGGCCTGTGATGGGTGCTCCTGCTGTCCGCGGCAGACAGAGTGCTCTGGCTGCTCTCCCTATCAGGGCGCTGATCCCCCTTGTGGGGAGCCCTGGTGACCTAATGCCCCCAAACGTCCACCGTCAAAGACCATCCCCCAAGGGGCTCTAAGCTCTCAGATACGTGGTTTGGGGACACTCGGTTCAAAGCTTAAGGACTGTCTATCAAAACATTCGCTTTAGTTCTGCTAGCCCTCTAATTATTCGAAGACCAGAAAGCCATCATAAATTCTTAGGGCCGGCACATTCGAGGGTCCCATGACCCCGTAGGAAGGTGTTTTCCTCCACGTGTCCACGGTGGGGACTTCTGGGCGTCGAGCAGCTGGGACTCATGTCCGCTGGCCTCAGTCTAGGGGCTGACGCGTCCCTGCAGGTCCTGAGAGGCTTCCAGAGTCATACGGGGCGCTTAGCTCCCTCCAGGCTCCGGAACACTCACCAGCGTATGCGGTGAGCTGAGGGGTCGCTTGGCTGAAGCGAGGGCACCGGGCTCCCTGCTCTGTTGATGGTGACGGTGTGTAGACCTCGCTGTGACCTCACAGGGACCCAGGGTTCTCATAGGGGCAGGCCTCCATCAGGACAGGGATGCGTCCCTGGGGAGCAGGGCCTGTGCTCTGAATCCTGGGTCTCGAGAAACATTTCTTAAGAAGGAAAATAGTTTTTGGTGGTTTCGATTCTGAAATCATTTCTCAAAAGGCTGACTTAGCCCACAGTCCAGATGGCCCACACATATTCCATGTCGGGCCCTCTGTACCAGCTGCTGTGTGAGGCCCAGGCGCATGCCAGGGACCCCAAAAACCCAGCAGCATTGTGTGTGGCCTCTGTCTCCTGAGGTTTCCATACTGGGGAGTCAGCATCCTGAGTCCCTGACAGAGCGGCTCGGAGGAAGAGACAGGGATGCGGTCAGCTGGAAGGAAGGGGAGGGCATCTTGGCAAAGGACAGGATGTTACTCTGAGAGCTGAAGAGCTGACGGGCAAGGAGGGGGGTGTCCGGGGCCTTGGCAGTGCCCGTGCAAAGGCCCTGAGGTCAAGACAACTCGGTGTCTTGGGGCAGCGGAGAGGAAGGGCTGGGGTAGCAGAAGGGTCAGCAGGGGCTACACCAACATGGCCCAGTACCAAGGCCACCAGCCACGTGTGGGTCTTTAAATTTAAATCAATTAAAATTAAATAGAATTAAGATTCCAATTCCTCAGTCCTCTGAGCTGCATGTCAAGTGCTCAGCGGCCGCATGTGGCTAACCCGTCACGGCACAGATCTAGAACATTCCCTCACCGCAGAAAGCTGCGTTGGGCAGCCCAGGGTAGGACACACCCAGCTCTCCAGGTGGGAGAAGAATGTTCCGTTCTATTCTGGGGAGCGCCGTTCTCCACTGTGCACGATTCCGGCCTGGGGCGCGGTGTCACCAGATCCCGCTCTGAAACGATCGCCCTGGTGGCCTGGAGGGTGATGGAGGGACTGTGGAAGGGGCAGCAGGAGAGAGTGAAGGGAAGATAGGAGGGAGGTAAGGGGCCGGTGGGAGGGCGGTGGGACTGGCTGAGGAGGCGTGGACACGCGCCTATGTGAGCCCACGTCCAGCGCGAGCTCAGCTGCGGACTGCAGTGCTCCTCGGGGGGCCGCGTTTCAGCACCACCCGCCCCCGCCCAGGTGCAGAGCGCAGGCCTCCAGGGGGCCCGGCCTGGGTCCAGAGGACAGAGGGACTGGGGTGGGGGGAGCACCTCCCAGACACAGCTGTGCTTCCAGCAGCGTGGGGGGCAGAGGCGGCTGCGGGGTGGGAGGCCCCGCAGGTCCCCTGGAGGGAAGACGCCCTCGCTGACCGAGGCGCGGAAGTGCCCGTGGGGGAGCGCTCACGGGACTTACTCCCACCGGGCCACCGGCTCCAAACATGGAGAAGTCAGGTTCTGTGCCTTGGGTGGTTTGCTTGGTCCTCCTTTTTGGTATTCGAGCAATTTCTCAAGCCCACAGCTGCCGTCTGCTTAGTTGAGATCCGACGGCCTCCGGTCTGTTTTTGTTAACCCTCACGAGATTGTGTGAAAACCGGGGCTGCTTCCTGTCTATGGCTCTGAGGCATTGGGAAGCTCGCCTTCCCTTCTCCAGAGCACAGAAGCACCGTCTGCACGGGTTCCCTGGTGAAGCAGGTGTGTGTGTAGGTGTGTGTGTGTGCCTGTGTGTGTGCGTGTGTGCGTGTATGCGTCTCTCTGCACACATACGTGTGCGCGCGTGCGTGTCTCTGTGTCTGTGCCTGCATGTGTGCCTGCGTGTCTGTGTGCGTGTGTCTCGGTATGTATTCTTGCACACATGTGTGTGCATCCATGTGTGTCTGTGTGTGCAGGTGTCTGTGTGCTTGAATGTTTGCGTGCGTCTGTGTGTACATGTGTGCATGCAGGTGTCTGTGTGTGTGCCGGTGCATGTGTGTGTGTGTGTACACACTGCAACGGGACAGCATGCCCAAGTGCCCCCAGTCGTCGGAGGGACGGGGTCTCGGTGTGCGGTGCCCACCCAGGCAGCAGTGGCAGGAGGCATATGCTGTGTGGCAGGTGTGACCGTCAGCATGAACCCCTGTTCCAGGTGACAGGACCTTAGCAACCCCTTGGGGACAGGATCCCCGAGAATGGCCATGGGGAGCCTCAGGGACCCCAGTCGTTCCCTTATGGCCTTGTTCTCTGGCTCCTTCGTGTGATGTTATTTCTTCTCGGGTTATGCTGTTGCACAAAAGGACGCTCACTCTGCCCTTCCTCTCTGCTCCCCTGGCCTCCTCCTACGCTCAGTTTCAGGAGTCGGCCTGGCCATGCCAGACTCGCTAGTCCCCGTGCTTTTCTGTGCCACTCCGGGGAGCGTCCTTGCTTGGCCCTTTTGGCTGAAATCGTACAGAAAGTTCAGAACAGCTGGACGGACCGTAGGAGCCACTTCCTTACTCCAGTCGGTGTTTGTGAGCCCCCCCGCCCCATCTCTATAGAACCTCCGGCGGGTGAAGACGGCCACTGGGCCAGTCCCTTGGAGAGAGAACCGTGGTGCATCCTCCAAGCAGACTCGGATCTGGGCATGAGGTCCGAGTGTAGACGGCGTCTGTGCTCAGATCTCCTGCACCACAGAGAGCGCTTCACGTATGTAGGGTCTGTGGCTGGAGCTGAGACCAATCCCGGAGCAAAAAGCCCATGTAGGGAATAAACACGACAGACACGGTGACTTACAGCTGAAAAGTTTGCCTGAAATTCTCGCGTGCCAGGGCCCGTCCCCACAGGCCTGCAGCCGGCCCGCGGGCTCCAGGGAGAGTGCCGCCCCAGCGCCGGGTGGGTGTTGCCAGGAGCCCATCTTCCGTGCTGCGTAGACACACTGGTGAGATGGTGGGTGGTGTTTTGTCACTCGCTATGGCTGGCGTGACACTTACTGAAGCTTGCCGTTTGCTCTTGCGTTCCAAGGCTGTATTTTAAGCACATCTGTGACACGTCTTGGGTTTTGTAAAATCAGTGCTTTGGAATGTTTGTGGGCAGTGGATCGCTTCTGAGAGCCTGAGGGCGGTGCTGCTGGGCTGGCGCGGCCGGGCCTCTCCCAGCACACCCCGGGTGCTCCTGTCCCCAGGGCATCCTAAATCACGGGGCAGACGTCCCCTGCCATTTGCCGTGCGGCGCCGTGCGCTGACTTCAGGCCCCCTAGGCAGAGGGAACAGAAAAATCAGCAGAGCCCTGCGCTGGCACGGCGAAGAGGCCCCTTGCCCTGCTGCATGAGCCTTGGGTTCCCGACTCCTGTAGGACGCAGGGACTGATGAGCGTGCGTGCTGGGTGCGTTTCTGGAACTTCCGATGTGTGCGTGTGATGGTCTCCTGGAGTTTGCTGCAGGCGTGAGGGCTCCAAGCTGACGGGTGACGTCGAGAGCTCACCCCGTGTTGCAGACACAGGGTCAAGGGCTCTGAGTTCAGTGCCGCTCCCCGGGGTAGGGGGGGCACTTACAGATCTGCCTTGCTCCTTCCCGCCACCAGGAGCCCACAGAGCCGGGTGGACCGTCCAGGACGTGGCCAGACTGCACAGCGTTGTCGCGCCGGCTCCTCCCTTCCTCCATCCCTCCCCCTCTGCTGTAGCCTCCGAGGGCTCTCGTACCCAGGAACCACAGACAGTGTGTCTCGAGCCACAGAAATCAGTCTCCCGGTTCTGGAGGCCAGATGTCCACCAGGCGTGGACTTCCTGGGCTCGTGGCCACATCTCTCGCATCTCTGCCCCTGTTGTCACATGGTTTTTTCTGTGTGTCTATGCCCAGATGTCCCTCTTCTGATAGGGAC